AAAAAAAAAAAAAAAAAAAAAAAAGAATAAGAGTGTGTTATGTACATGTACAAACTCCCCACAGTAAGTGTAATCATCAAGTACTGACAAAATGTACTAATAAAAATACATCATAAATAAGAGCCCATGCCTTCCCCATGCCAATAGGGACAAATTGTTCAATTGATCCTGTATGTATTTGATTTGTTTTTCATTCTGTTTCTCTAATGAATCATATTTGTTGATTTTCCAGAAGCCTGGATCCATAATGGGTTGGAAATGCCAAAAAATATATATAGTTAATGATGTACCACCCCAGAATGACTCACTCACTCTCGAGTGTCTTCTTCCCTTTTACTCTACTCCCAAGGTACAGTGAGCCAACCCATTCCCCCTTAAATTTGCATCCTTTTACTGTGGAAGGGTGTGGAAAGGGAAGAACCAAACAACTGGTTTGAGAGGGTAGGGGAATGAGGATGTGTGGGAGGAAGGAATGGGTGTATAGAGAGGCTGGCCTTGACTCTGACTTTTGCAGAATACTCCTCTTCTTAGGTAGCTGGGTGGCTGCCAGGCACTCCTCCAAAGATCAAGAAAGTGGGAGTGAATCTTGGGAATTCATTTCCTTCCTTCTCCACTCATTGTGTCTGACTGAGGGGACAAGACTGTACTGTTGAATTCAGCCTCCTCAACACCTCACAGATTGGAAAGTCACTTCCATTCTTCCTGCCAGACTTTGATGTCTATATTCACTTCTTTCCCCCTCAGGCACTTTGCCCAGCAGTTTGGGAATTCTGACGGGCACTGTCTGCATGCGCCAGAAGTGCCTGGAAGTGTTTCCTGTGGGCAACTTCACTATACTGCCACAGGTATTACTGTGAAGGTACCTTTACCCTCCTCTGTATCTGTGTGGTTGGGTTTTAAAAAATCACTCTCAATAGCTTATTTATTAATTTATCTGAAAAAGGAAATATATGTGTAAACAGTTAAACAGCACAAAGGATTGTATAATAATAAAAAATTATTCCTCGTACTCTGCCTTCCCCATGACCTGGTATGGTATCATGTTTTCCCCATTCCACAAACGGCAGCAATATATACATATTATTTTGCTCCTTTTTATTTCGTTAAACAAGATATCTTAGGCACATTTATTTCATAGCAGTACAAATGTGTCTTGATCATATTTTTAATGGCCACATGGTATTCCATCACATACGAGATGGACACCCATGATAAAACAATTCCCCAGTTGTATACCAATGTGTACAGAAACATCAACAAACTTTTGATACTGCACACATTGCTAAATACTTTATATACACCTATTTGTACAGATGTGTCTGATGGAGGGAGGAAACTACTTGGTTTTCTAGGTATTCTTAGATTTCATATGTGATTGGTTTTCTACATCTAATATAGCACATCATATTTGTCCTTGCTCTCTTTTCAGGTTTCAAGAGCATTCGTACCTCTCGAGTTATTTGGAACTTATTTCTTGCTTTCTTATCTTCATGGCTCATGCCCCAAATGTCTTTTTTCTTAGTTTAGTTATGTCAAGAAGGACAAGTATTGAGCTGGGGATTTAGCTCAGTGGTTCCGCCGCTTGCTTTGCAAGTGCAAGGTCCTGAGTTTGATCCCCAGTACCGAAAATAAAAAAAAAGGACAAGAATAAGTTCATGAATCTGTGGTACTTTCTGTACTACTTCTCTTCATTTCTATCAAAGCTCATTAAACTCTATGTTACTTAAAACTTATGCACCTACTCAACTATCCTATTGTACCAAGACACTGTGGGATGAATTGCTAGTCTCTTTCCTCCACTGACCCCCTTGTCTTCACTCCTTTTATCAGAGAGCGGGCTGGAATGGTAAATAAATAAATATCTAATTGATATTTGCTTAGGGCAGAGTGACTTTCAACAGCTAGCCTGGTGTTTGTTGTAATTCAGTCAGACTCAGGTGATAAGAGTCAGATGTTCCCTCTCAGCCCAGTTGTACAATGTGTGCAGACATTTATGAGATCTTGCTTTAGAAGTAGCATAGGAAAGGAAGGTCACTGGACAGGGTAGCCTAGACCTAGACGTTGGGGTATACATTAACACTTGTTCATGGGCCTAGATAGGTGGTTCTCAAGTGGGGAAATTTTTCCCCTGGGGGACATTTGTCATTGACTGGAGACGTGTTTTGGTTGTTACAACAGGCAAATGGGAGTGTAGATGCCAGGGATAGCGCTACACATTCTTTGGTGCACAAGGCAGCTCTTTTCCCCAACAAAGAATTATCTAGTGTCAATAGTGGTACCTTGGGTCACAAACCTAGGCAATACAGTGGAACCTTGGTTCATGAACTTAATTCTTTCCATGATTCTGGTTGCAAACCAAACTGGGTGAGAACTGTATCAATTCAGTAGTTAGGTTCAATGTTGACTTTATGAGGAAATTTGATTTGGTTATTGTCCAATTTGGTTTGTGATCAGAATCACGGATAGAATTAAGTTCATGAACCGAGGTACCACTGGATTGCCTAGGTTGGAAAACTCTAGTCATGAATTTATCCCATTCTGAAACTTACACCACTGGACATGGAAGAATAAAAATATGCATCTGGTCAAGCTATAGGTCACAACCCTAAGGATCCTGATTTCGTTGGTCTAGGGTAGTGGTGGAGAACCTGTAGCATGCATGCTGCAATAGGCTGTTTGTATCATTAAAGGCTCTAAAGGGTTTGACATCACTGGTCTTGGGTATCGTCTGGGTGTGGTATTTTCATGACGCTCCCCTGGCAGGGGGTGACTTCACTTGTGGACAGGATTGAAAACTCCCTGTAAACTCTGGTTTGATAGAAGCCACAGAAGAACCTGACCCACCCCCACACCGTTTTCCTGGGAAGGTGGGTTACAGAAGGGTTACTGGCTCCTCGAGGAGGCAGCAGCTGTGGAAAAAAAATGCACAGGAGATGAAAAGAAGTTCCAATGGCCCCCACCTCCCCCAACACTACAGAGGGTAAAATAGAAGTTCAAGCCTGGAGCTTCTGTAATTCGAAATATTCAGGGTGAATGCTCAGGGTCTTCAGCCTAGCTAAGGAGCCAGATTACCTGCACAAAGGGAAAGGTGCACTGTTACAATGGGTGTGGCCTCTGTCAAGGTGCAGGGCTCTTTGAACCCAGCGGAGGCTGGATTTGGGCTCCCATTTGCCCTTTCTTCCAGGTAGCTTTGGGCAGTGTGCAAACTGCACAACCTAATGCAGGAACCTAGACTGGAACTTGGCTTAGCTAAGATGTCCCCAGAGCAGCAAAGGGGTACTGAACTGCCCTATGGTTTGCCAAAAACAAAGCAGTGAGATGCTTTCTCAAATGAAAGAAACCAGATCCATCCTGGGGGCAGCCTGGAAACCCTATCCTGATGCTAGCATACAGCCATGCCAGACCACAGGGTGGAGGCTCTGTACTTGCCTTGATGCCCCCAGCGAGGCTGAGAACAGCCCAGAAAATGGGGAGATCTGGCTGCAGGAAACTCCAGCTGGATCCTTATGCGGGTGGGTGAGACAGGGAACTTTCTGTGCCTTTTGCATTCCCATCAGCTGACCTGGGAGGGAGAATCCCCTCCTAAACCACAGCACGCAGCCTAGACCTTGATTCTTTCTTTAGCGAAAAAGAAACAAAAAAACGCTGGGCGCAGGCATAACTGCGCACCTAGGTTGCTATCTCCACTCTGCCACAGCAGGGTGAACATGAACAAGTTTCTAAGCCTCAGAGTCTTCTGGCAAAAGTGGACATAATAAATAATAGAGAACTTGGGGGTGGCCTCGAGGGTCAAATCAGGGAATGTGGCCATGGTAGCCAGCCGCTGCAGGCTACTCTAGACCTCTAGGTTACCATTTCTCATTCTGTGCGACTCATTAAGTTTTCTGCACAGAAAGCAGAGTTCTGGGGACCCAGGATCTGCTAGGCGATGTGCTTACTAGGGGTAAGAAGGAGAGCGGATGGAGCAAAGAAAGCTACTGAAGGATATTTTTGGTCGCTGGGGCAAGTCTCTGGCACTCTATAGTCCTGAGAGGACAGCCTCGCTTCCAGAAGAAGTGCTGGCACAGAAGGAGGGGGTAGATGGGTGGGTCGGAGCCCCGAGCTGCACAGTGTTCCAGGGAGGCGGAGGAAGGGGGCAGGCTCCAAGCGGGAGGGAAGGAGGGAAAGGCAAGAGGAGGAGTTTTCCAGCCCGGCCTTCATCCGTTCCTAGCGCAGCCCCTGGGTCTCCTCGGTCTCCTCCCGCCCCCTGGAAGCGCGCTGCGCTGCCTAGTGTAGCGAAGCGCGGCTCGCCATGGGGAACCCGGTACTCCGGCCGGTGCTGCTGCTGCCGCCCTTGCTGCTGTTGCTGTTGGTGCTGCTGCTTGTCTTGCCGAGCAGCGGCTTCCCAGGTAGGAGCCAGAAGTGGGGCTTTCTACCGACCTGGGCTACGGGCACCCCTGGAGCTGCAGCTGGGATATTTGGCTTGGGATAGAGAGAGATGCGGGAGTGTGTGTGTGTGGGGGGGCACCCTTTGTCTACTCCAAACTAGTCTCCCAATCCCAGGGAGTGGGATTCGCGCCTGGGCTCGTTGAAGGGAGAGCAGATCGTCCCATCAGCATGCTTGCTGCACCTTCACGGAGCCAGGAGTCTAAGCCCAAGCAGCCTCTCTGTGTCCTAGGTTCTAAGGTTCAAGGTTCATATCAAGCACTCATTGGCATCGGAGGTTACAAAGATAGTTTGGCTGCAAGCTAGTTTGCTACTCTTTCGCCACCCGGCATTTTACCTCTCGCGGTTGCTAACGGCTGGGACTCCGGACCTGGCGGCTTATCCTGAAAGTAGCCCCCACCCCTCCCGCACGAAATCCCCCCGCCCCACAGGCGTCGCAGGCACAAGTCACAACGGAGGGACGTTGGTGGATGGCATGGGCGGAGCCTCCACCGTATCCTCTAACCCCCTCTGCTGGGGATTGCGGGAAAGCCTGAGTCTCTGCGTAAGAGGCCAGCTAAGTGGTGACTTGTGGCATGCACTTGGTTAGACGGAGGGAAAGAAGGATCCGCGTGAGGCTCTGCTGAACAGGGGGTACTGCTTCTTGTTGTTGGAGGGTGTTGTCTCCAGCATCTAAGGGGACCCTGGAGTTAATTGGGGCTCTTATGGATGTGGGCAAAATTCTCATTTCAAATGTCCTTTGGAAAGCTGTAACTAAATTCCTCACACTGAAGTCTTCAAGGGGTGCAGGGCAAAGTGCCACGCACCCCCCACGGCCTTGGAATGAAGAGCAAAGCCATATACAGGCTTTAATTTGGTGTTTAATGAGAAAGTGGGTGACGGAAACTATAGAATGTGCAAATATTTGGCTTTGCGTTCAGCAACCCTGCTGGCGGTTTGAATTTGAGGTCTGAGAAGGAGCTTCCTGAATTCTGAGGGGTTCCCAGATAGCATGCTTGGGAGATGGAGGGATGGCTGCTGGGAATCCTCTGCACATTTCCCAAATGACTGACTGACTGAATGAAACAAATGTGTAAATTAATAAACAGGAGCATTTATGCTTTGAGCTGATGCTTGTAAGTTTTCAGCTGTTTCATAGGAACTGACTGGGAGACAGTTCTGCAGGTAACTGCCATGCCTGTTGGGTGTTAGTGCCCAGACTCCCATGCCCTTTGGTAACAGTCAGGTTAAAGTGAATGTAGAGAGGAAGAGGAAGTCATTTAACGGACAAGAAGTAGTTTCAAGGGATGAGGAAAGCAGATGAGAAGCTAGAGGCAGCCTTTCAGGCTGATTTAGAAGGTGTTTGTGAGCCACCTCAGAATCACAACTTGTAGTTTAAGCTTTCTAAGGGAAGGGGGCCACTTCTCCTTTGCCATCTGACCCCCCTCATCTGCTTGTTCTTTCGGCTTCTACCCCTGTATAGTGTAGCTTGCTGCCAGGGCACCATCACCCACAGGATCGTGGATTTGCGGGTTTGGGCACTTACTGCTTCTCATTGTTTGGGACTTGTCTCTGGTGTTTCCTGGCTCCTCTGCAGCCTACAGACTCCTCCTCCCTTCCCTGGGCTGGGAGCCACCGAGCTCCTCCTTGCCACCACTCGCACTGGTTCCTAACCTGCCTGTGTCTCTGCTGAGACTGCAGACAGACCGAAGCCAACTGGAGCCCTTCCTTGACAGTCTCAATGGGGTGTCTTGGAAACTGAGCTCTACTGGGGCTGTGGAAGTCAGAGGTGGGGATTGCAGTTTAAGCCAGAGGTTTTAGGAGGCTGTGAAGGGAAAACTCTCTTGATCAAAGAATCTGTAGGCAAATCATACCAGCTGAGCTCTCCCTAAGTGGGGGTGACAGATTTTTTGTACTGGGGATGAAACTCAGGACCATGAACTTGTAAGGCAAGTGGTAAAACCACTGAGCTAAATCGCCAGTCCAACAGATTTTAAAGATCATTTCAGAGACACCCCCTCAGTAAGGGGGCATCATGTCTCCAGTAAGAGAGAAAGTAAGATGCCTTGAATCTGGAACTTCTGAACTCAAGAGACAGGGAACTAGGGCCCCATCAGCACCCTGATTATTTAACCATGTGAGCTTTTATAAACAAATCTGTCGGACTGAGAGCAAATCATTCCCATTTGCACCCCTAGAAGGTCTTTGGAGTTCTTTTATTTTGAATTTGATGCAGCTTTTCTGGCCCTGATTTACTCTTCTGCAGCTTAGCAAAGATGTAGTACCTACAAAAACCCACAGAAAGTATATGGCGAGTTCCTAGCAAGGCTGTTTGAGCTCGACTGTACTGGTGTACTTATAAAAGAGGAGGGGTTTGATTAATTCTTTTTCCAGATAAACTCCTGAAGCTGAGATTTGTAGAGTTCACTCCACCTTTTTTTATAAAGCTGATGATGGAGAATGAGTATGGTGGCCACTAAGGAAGGTGTTGGCTATCTCGCTAGGTCTGGAGAAAACTAGGAAAGGAGTGAGGTTTAACTATTCAGAGAACCTAGGGAGGGGTTGTTAAAAGCCAAACCAGACCACATCAGACAAAGCAGTTTTTTCAACTGCCACATTTGGAGGGAAGTATTCGGAGCCGGCCACCTGGCTCAGGCTATACAATTAAGACCTCAACAGGAGCACGCTAGAAATTTCCATTTGGGCTTAAAACATATAATCACTTGACAAAATTACTCTGCAATAGAAAAGGAGATATGCTAGGGAAAACAGGCCATTTTTGTCTGGCATTGTCTTCATTGGTAATGCTTTTAGTACAGTATGTTATTGTTACTACTCTCGTTTCACACTTTTGGGAGCTGAATGAGATACCAGAAATCATCATTAAAGCACTGACTTCCCACCTTGAAACATAATCAAATTACAGTGCTTCTCCTTTAGATTGTTACTATAATGTTTTTATTTCTAGTCTCTCTCATTTTAAGTCATCCATATTCTCTTGCCAGATCTTGATCTTTTAAATATATTTATGTTAGTACCATTTTTATCATATCATCCCTCTACTCAGAGCACCAGCTCCCTGTCTTGTCTGAAGTAAAAAGTTCTCAGTTGTTTTAGCGGAGTCGCAGAGTTTGCTTCTATCCTAATTTTCTAGCCTTTCCCCGCCAGTTTCCTAAAGTAGATTGCCTATCCTTATAGAATTTGAGTTATGTTTCCCTTCTTCTTGGTAGATTCTGTTTCCTGTACCCAAAATCCCTCCTTGTGGCCTTGTGTCTGCTTAAATTCTGCTAGTTTTTCAGCGACACTCCCACTTTGATGAAACCTCTCCTGTGTTTCAGTGCTGGGAATAGAACTCATGACCTTACTTGGGTTAATCATGTGCTCTCCCACTAAGCTACAACCCCAGACCCCTGAAATCTTTCCTTGATTCATGAAGTGGGAAGTCTTCTGCCTTCCTTTAAAAACCCACAACATTAAGGTCCAGAGTTCGATCCCTGGTAAAAGAAAAAAGAGAAAAACCCACAACACTTTATGGCTCTCTTGTGTATTTATCACACATGCCATATATTTTTATGATAATTTATGGGCTCCTCTTACTTAGATATGGAGCCCTTTAAAGCAGGAGCTGTGCTGTGTCTTACCCTTATTCGTATTTTCCACAGTGCCTAGCTGTACATTTGGTGCCAAGTAGATATTTGTGCTTAATGAGTTAATGGTTCCCTGCAATTCTGGTGATAAGTTGTTGTACAGAAAAAAAAAACAACCTGAAAGAAACATGTGCACAGATAAACAGTGCTTTGTGCCACCATGAATTTAGCTATTTAGTACTATGGCTTGCTGGCTGCAGAGGTTCCTTTTAAATCCATGAGCGTTCTCTAAGCAATAACCTTCTCTGTTGGGGCTGTAAGGTGAGAGACTAAGTGTACTATATTTGTGGGTTACTTAACTGAAATCATTGTGATAGAGAAGCAAATCATCCTATTTCACATATTCTTGTAGGATTTAATCAGAATTTCCAAGATGATACTTCTCAAAGGAAAAAGAATTTGAGATAACAAAGTGTCAGTAGGACTTTATAGTACTGTGAACAAAGGAGCAAATTGGACAACAAGTCGGGGCGTAGTTCATTGCTGAGGCTCTTGGATATTAAATCACCCAAGGAAACTAAGAGATTTAGACCCTCCAGGGAAGTTCTAGGGGGTAGGCTTTTCAAAGATTTCAGGAAAAAGCTTCTGCAAGAAAAAGAGGCATTGGTTATATTGCTAAGTTCCTGTTTGCTAGATGATAATTGGTTACACCTGGATCTTATGGGCGAATGGCGCCTTAGAAACCTCTGGAGCACTCAGTCCTGAGCTGAATGATTCACTCATCCATAATCTTTAGCTCACACTGGATGCCTTTTTATGCACTGTGCTTCAGGGAGAAGATAAATGGGTTTAGACATAGTGATTTTGGATTATCCCAGAGATTTGGAGTTTTAAATTGCATATATTGGTTTTGATGCATTTTTATGAGTAAAAGACAAATCCAAACAGAAATTGAGGGCAGACTTTCTGCCTTGGCTTTGAAATATCAGTGAAATGATTTTTCTGTTCTGCTTTTATAGTGACCTGTAGTGTGATGGGTCACAGGTACCAGAGACTTGTTTTCCCAGCTGTCACTGACTATTTGCAAAGTCCATCTAGTTTCGCTTAATGAAATGTCTTCAATGCCAGTTGTGCCCCAAGATCCCGTAATGGCTGATGCTGGCCTGCAACTTATTTTGTGGGTGGCTAAGTTGAATGACACTGCCAGTTCCAGGCATCTAAGGATGTTCAAAAACACTAGTTAAATTAGGGCCACAGAGTGAGAATTGAGCCAAGGTTTTGTGGGCCCATTGTGGAGTGGTGAGGAAGTGGTGGTGTGGCCACGTCCCCATCCCCCACCTCCTGAAACTCTGCTCTCAGAGTGGCTGTTCCTTGGAGGAACTCTGACAAACATGTTG